CCGCCCTCTATCACCCACAGAGCAGGGCCGATCAGGGGGTTGGGACGCCACACCCTGTCACACACAGAGCCACAGGGCGATCAGGGGATTTGGGCGCTGCCCCCTGTCACGCTGATCCGGTGCCAGGAGGCCTCGCGGCTCCGCTGATCCCGGTGCTGGGAGGCATATTACCCTTTTACTATATAGGATAGAGGCCTGGGGGCCGGCTGGTTTGCCCTGAAGGGTGTCCAGGATCAGGGTGGGGGTCCCCACTGGGGTGCCTGGCCAGTCTGGCTGAGGGGATGATGGCTGTTTGCAGCTGGTCACACACCCTTCAGGGTGGGGGTCCCCACTGGGGTGCCTGGCCAGTCTGGGTGAGGGGCTGAGGGCTGCTTTCAGGCTGGCGGTTATTGATTGAAGCTCCCAACCGCTCCTTTTTTTTATTTTATTCTGGGCCAGCTTTTGCTCTGGCTCTAGCTCTGAGAGCAGGTATCTGGTTTGTTTCGGTTCTATAATCGAAACAATGTATAACTTCAGCTCTGAGATCCCGGCCTATATTTGTTAGAATGTTTCAAACTGCCAGCTCAGAGGCCGGCTAGGCAGGCGGGGAACGTTGCAGTCTGCAGTCACTGGAGCAAGCAAGCCTCATGTTCGCTTCCAGCTGCCTGGCTGCCGGCCGCCATCTTGGCTGACAGTTAATTTGCATAAGGATATGCTGATTAGCCAATGGGTAGGGTAGCGGTCGTACGCTAATTACCATGTTTCTCTTTTATTAGTATATACATATATATGTATATATATATGTATATATATATATGTGTATATATATATATATATACATATATATATATATATATATATATGTATATGGCCCATTGCACATATTCACGCACTGATGAGGTCCCTCAGCCTGGCCTGTGCCCTCTCACAATCTGGGACCCCTCAGTAAATGTCAGACTGCCAGTTTCAACCCGCTCCCCGCAGTCTGACATCCCCGGAGGGATGTAATAGTGAGTGAAGTGGCAGGCAGCCTTGGCAGGCACTACACCGCTCCTGGTCATCCCGGCCCCACTGTGCCTGCTGCCACCTCATAGCCACCGCTTGGTAGCACAATCACAGAGGCGGGAGAGGCTCACACCACTGCAGCTGTGCTTGCCAGCCATGACCCTGACTTCTGGTGCCCGTCAGTCAGCTGAGCAGCACTCCCGCTGTGGGAGTGCACTGACCACCAGGGAGCAGCTCCTGTGTTGAGAGTTTCCCCCTGGTGGTCAGTGGGCATCATTCAGTCATTGGGTCACTTAGGCTTTTATATATATAGATATATATGTATTATATGCAAAAATATAGTACTTAAATCATTAACTTTACCCTTGAAGTATTTTGAATGACAAAGAAATTGTAGGCAGATGGAGGACTAAGAAACTAAAAGGTTTCACAAATGTGAGGGCACTAGTGTAGGGTGCTAGGCCCACTCACACTTAACATTTTTATTGGATACTAGGGTCCCGGTACACAAATTCATGCACCTTAAAAGGAATTGTGGGCCATGAGGCTGCAGTGGGCACAGGGGTGGGTCTCGGCCCATCCTCTGTGCCCCTGCCCAGCCCTTACCACTGTGGCCCCCGGCCCTCTGTCTGCCAGCAGACCTGCTCCCACCGCTGCCGCTCCCATGCGCTGATGGTGCCAGCCCTGCTTGCACCGGCTGATGCGGGACAATTGGGGTTAGTCCCAGCAGTGTGTGCGAGCAGGGCCAGCGCCATCAGCGGGTGCGAGTGGTAGCTGCTGCCCTGATCGCCATCAGGAGCAGGAGGAGGTGGAGAAGCCCTCAGGGGTGCTGGGGGCTGGCAGCCGCTGCTCGCACCTGCTGATGGTGCCGAGCAGTGGGACTGGTGCCGGGTGCTGGCAGCGGGTTTGAGCGGCAGCTCTGGCACCAGCTGTGGGTAAAAGCGGGGCTGGCACCTTCAGTGGGTCCAAGTGGCAGCTCCGGTGCCAGCAGTGGTGGAAAGCGGGGCAGGCGTCAGCAGCAGGTGCGAGTGCTGGGCGGGACTGCAGTGCGTGGGAGCAAAGAATTTTCAGTAACCACCAGAGGCTTGCCCTGATGACAGCAACTGGAGCCCCGCCTTGGTCTGGCGCCCCCACTCACCTGCTCCACAATCCACTGTGGCCAATGCCCACCATGTTCTGTGCTCTGCCATCTGCTGCCAATGCCCGCCATGTTTTGTACACACCCCCTGGTGGTCAGCGTATGTCATAGCAATCAGTTGTTCGGTTGTTTGGTTTTTCAGCTCTTTGGTCTATTTGCATAGTAGGGTTTTATATAGAGAGATTACGACACTCAGTACTATTGCTTAGAGTTGAGCTATCCAAATGACAACCATTAGCTGCATGTGACTATTTAAATTTATATTTAAGTTAAGTAAAATTAAAAATCAATTATCATTCTCACTGTCCAAATCTCAAGTGCTTAATAGTCTCATGTAGCAAATAGCTACTGTATCAGGAAGCACTGATATCAAATATTCCCATCATTGCAGAAGCTTATTGAACAGAGCTGCTCTAGAGTAATGCTTTAAATCACTATTATTCTTCCTTTGCCTGCACATTTAGGCAAGCCTGATGTCCCAGGCAATAAACTGAATTTTTTTTAAAAAGCTAGTTATTTTCTCTAAACTGATATGAACTACTTTATTTCTATAATAGTAATTGATTACCCATTTTATGCAAGTACTCATTACATGCAAATACATACCAGTACATGTAAAATGTCATTAAAGTTTTAAATACATTTATATTATTTGTTTACTTGTAACTGATGGCAGCTCAAACAGGACCTATGATGAAGATACAAGAAAAAAAACATTAAGCTATAAATTCAAAAGGACTGAGATCTTGACTGTTTATGTTCATGATTGTATCCATATTTATTGCTAAGTCTCCTAGATTTAGTAAATAACAAAAATAATATTTTTGAATTAATAAATGGAACAAACATGTGTTTTCTCCCCTGAGTTGTTAATTTGTAAACCATAACCCTTCGGCCTGGTTTATCCTTTTTGTGACAATCAGAGACCCACAGTGCTTGGCTGTCAGTATAGCTAATGGAACAGGGATTAGAGTGGGTGGGTGGGGGGCAGGCTTTCCTTTCTGTTTTTCTCCTTTTCTTCACCTAAAAATCCTGTTTTGTCCCTTTCTTTCCAACCAGCTACCAGCTTAGGAATACAGATTCTTGTGCATCCTCCTAATACCAAAGGCCTTTTGGTGGAGTGTAATACAGGAGGTTGGTTCCCACAGCCTCAAATGGAATGGAGAGACAGCAGAGGAGAGATCATTCCGCCTACATCCATATCCCATTCACAGGACACAGAGAAATTGTTCCACATGAAGATGACTCTTCTCCTTAAACAGAGCTCCCATAGGAATGTCACTTGCTGCCTTCGAAACCCCGTAACTGGTCAAGAGGAAAGGACAAGCATTGTCCTATCAGGTGAGATCAGTGTGCTTGTTCTTCAAATGATGACCATTGTCATAAAATTTACAAACTAAAGAGAAAAGTCAATATACTTTCTTCACTTGGTTTCTAGGACATTACATTCTCTTGGCTTTATTCATGATTTCGCTCATTTTCTTATTTCTTTCTGCTACTTTATCTTTTATCTCTATCCTTTATAAGAGTTCCCCAAGGCTTAGTCTTTGAGCGTTTTCTCTTGTGTCTTAATTACATCTCATGGCTTTCCATACCATCAATATTACAATGGCTCCCCAAATGGTATCTCCTACCCAGATCTCTCTCCCTAAATTTAGTCTGATTTCTAAACTCAGCATCTCAATGTGGAAGTCTAATAAATATCCCAAATCCCACACATCAAACACTGAACTCCCAATCACCTCCTGACTTGTGTAGTCTATTGCCTTCCCAATCCACACTTCATATTCTTAGTTTCAAAGAACAAAATCCTTGAAGTCATTATTGACCCCCATCATTCTCTCATATTCTATATCACATTTGTCAAAAGATAATACTAGGTCTACTTTTAAAATAAATCCAGAGTCTCACCACTTTATTTCCTCCGTGCAAGTCTGAGAGACTATCACCCATTGTCTGAATATTGGCAATAACATCTGAAAAGATCTCCCTATTTCTAGCCTTGTCCACTATGATGTATTCTCAACATATAGGTAGGAGAATCCACTTAAAACATAAGATACACAACATTACCTTTTATTCAAAACCCTGCAATGGCTCCCCATTTTATTCAGAGTAAAATGCCCCATAATGTCCTTCATTATCTGTGCCCATTACCCATCTGATCTCATCCCCTAATATTCTTCTTTATCTGCTCTAGGCTATGCCCCCAAACATGTCAGACTTGCTCCTGTGTGGGGGTCTTTGCTCTAGTTCCGTGGTCGGCAAACTGCGGCTCGTGAGCCACACGCGGCTCTTTGGCCCCTTGAGTGTGGCTCTTCCACAAAATACCACGTGCGGACGCGCACGTACAGTGTGATTGAAACTTCGTGGCCCATGCGCAGAAGTCGGGTTTTCGGCCTGGGCGAGTCTATTTTGAAGAAGTACTGTTGATATTTGGCTCTGTTGACTAATGAGTTTACCAAACCACTGCTCTAGTTGCTCCCTCTCCCCAGAACACTGTAATTCCACTAAATGTCCTTATCTCCCTTCAAGGTTATGCTCCCCCTCTTACCCTTTTTCATAAGTACTAACTTTTATTTTTTTTTCCTTTTTGCACATTTATGTTATCTATTTTTATTTTTTTTAATTCTTTATTGTTTGAAAAGTATTACATAATGTCCCTCTTTCCTTCCCCATTGACCTCCCCTAGGCCCACTCCTGGCCCTCCCCCCCCCAGGTCTTCCCCCCCCCTATT